GACTCAAAATTCTCGGCGGAAGCGCGAGATATCTACCTTGCCATTGAACATATTCAAAGAAATGAAGCATAATTTGATATTCTATAACTGATTTTTTTGGTAAATCTAATACATTCTTTATTGATATAATTCTGTTCAATATGTCCTAAGGATATACACATGTCACACACGTAGGTTTGTGTCTAGTTGACGATCATATGGTCATTACCTATTTAGCCTTTGGTCATTATATTTAAAATTTACCTGTTTTCCTGGATACTAAATATGTAATCCTTATTAAGTACTCCAATCTTATATCAGTATATCTAACATGTTGGCGTGGTGCAGGTAATTTCTTATATTATGTAACATTTATTTTCCTTGTCCATCTCTATAAAAGCTGGTAAGAAATTGTATTAAACAGTCGATCCGTGCGTCCTTACACCAATAAACTTCTTAAACAGACAGTCCTGGGCTCAGTCATATTTACAACGAAGAATTACACACAAAGAAAGAGAAGTAAAACATTATATTTAGTTCCGTGAACTAAAACATAAAAAGTAATGAAAGCTGTTCTCTCGAAGTGTTAGTTATAGAAATATCGAAAATATTTTTGATTTGTAATGCATTAATACTCTATCATAAACCTGCCTCAAACCTTCACATTATTTTGGCTCGGTTCCTGGGCACATAGGAATACCGGGCCGATGAAAAAGCAGATCGGGCCGCAAAGGAAGCTTTATCGCTACCACCTATTTTTAAACTTCATTTTACTGATTTTAAACCATTTATTAAACATTTTAACAATGGAGGAGGAATGGAATACATTGTACCAATAATAAATTGCATTCCGGAAAACCTATAATTGGTGAATGGTCTCCATGCTACAGAGACAACCATCGAGACGAAGTTGTCCTAGCCCGTCTTCGGATGGGCCATACTTACCTTACACTTTCATTTATGTTGAAAGGCGAAGATAATCACCAATGCAGGAATGTGATGAGCCATTCATCGTTTAACTTTTTTATTGGACTGCAATGACATTCTGTCTATTCGAGAAAATCATACCGATACAGGTCTAATGACCCTTTTTGAAACTATTCAGATTGATAAATTTTACGTTATCTGAAATATGTTGGTCTAATTTACAGGATGTGACTTACCATTTTGATCTTTCGTAATGATATGACCATTTAAGAATTTAAGCATTTGTCCTTTACCTTTTAGTTCATTTGAAGTTTTTTTTTTTTTTTGGAGCCCGGTTTTTTCACCGATTGGTGGTCCTAATGACCTTTTATGTGTTGACGGGCCGTTAAGAACGTGATAATAATAATGTCTGCAATATCTTATTTACTGTGTCGACTAAACCCTTTCAGGCTGTACATTTACACGATAAACACTGGTAGCAAAGTGGCCAAGTACAACAGAATATCAGAATAGAAACCCAATATCAAAAACTTATATATCTGGTAGCTTGAGATTCCATATGCCAAACGTATAATTACCATAGTTACGCTTGAATATTCATGAGAACAGATACATCACTGACGGTCATGGAGACGAAATTATGTAACATGGGACAAACTTTTGATATCACTATCAAAACGGTTTCCACCAGAAGACATCGAACGTACTACTTTATTATTACTATAACATGAGTCATGCCTTCTGTTTGTACGTTGTGAATCATACTTTAAACTCAAATCTAATAAAGCGTGGATAAATTATGACCAAGATTGACACCTGGAAAAAAGTCAAAGAAAATAACACCAGAATAAAACTCAAACGCACAAAATTTAAAATGAAGTTTTGTTTTTGGTGTTTTTGAAAGGTTAGATGACAGAAAGAAATTCAGAAAAAAATATGCTGCTCTATTGCTACGTTATATGTTACACGAATTTAGGAAATTACCCTGCAGTTACGATCACCTTCACTCTCTGCACCTCTCTTACATGTCATTGCAAAATTGAAGGCATGATTAAATTGGTTCCAAGAGGTAGAAAAGACCAATCATAGCCAGATACGTTCCTTTTGAAGATTTCAAAGGAGCGACACCCAAAATTCACAGCGATTTCAATATACCGTTATGCTACCTCGAGATTCGATTGGTATACATCAAATGATCAAACTAGTGTTTTCGTCTTGTCCAGAAGGTTTCACAGATGGAACCTTCAATTTTGCCATGTCATCTTTCAGGGGTGCAGAGAATGAAAGTGACCGTACTCCCCGGAGTTCGAAGATATAGATATGCATGAACTTTTTTTTAAGTTTTCGCATTAATGATTCTTGATTATTTCCGTGTGGATCTTCGTTTCCAGCTTTTCGATTTGATTCGATATAAACAGATCTCCATAACAGGGTTCGATAAAACGATGTTTTCGATCTACTTAAAAGAGAAACAATCACTCTCTAAATACGATGTATGTATATATATATATATATCGTATTATTGGGCCTTTAGGCTAAGACACCGAACATTAACTTGATTTCTATTCCGGAAGTCAATCGACACTTTATCTGATTGGTTATGACGTATGATGAGACTTTCAACAAGTTAATGGTCTCTCTTTGCTTTGGGCGCTATATTTCGTTTTCCGCATGGTCAACTGCCAAAAAATAATTCCTCTGTTCCATCGTCATGTTTGCTAGTTGCAAGTGAACTAACCAAATTGAGTTTGACGTAATAATAATAATCTGTATGTTATTAATAGCTTTTTATGCTTTCATCACATATACAATACAAACGTCATTTGAGACGACCGGAAACCAAAGTTGACTGCAACTATGTACAGTACGTTTGACAGCGTTATGTTTCTCTCATGTGATAGCGTGAACAGCATACTTGGTTATTTTAATCCCCAGCCGGTCGCAGGTAGTTGGTCGGTTAAGATGACGTCATTATACAGATAATTAAGTAGTTATTACCATGATTATACTACCTATTCGGTCAAATAACAAATTCAACATGTCCGAAATATATCAATGAAAGACAAATTTTTTATCAGTCTATATCTATTGAAATAAGTAATATCAGAATTGATATTAATCTCCTGACAAAGGGTGACATTGACATAAGTGCTCATGCTAATGTTTTTATTCTCTCCTGTGTCTTGGAATACATAGAAAAATCTGAAAGATTTCACTAGCTGTATTATATTAATTATTATAATACTTATTACTAAATGATTCCGTACATCTCCTGTATAACTGGACGCAAATGGCACTGTATGTAGTGACATTGACTTTGTAGTGCCATGACCAGCCACATGATCTGCTAAGTAGCTCCACTGTCCTGTGGCATATTCTAACATTTGGCTGTGAAGGAAAAGGGACTGTGGGCTTGTTGACCCTACTCATCAGTCATCATAGGCCTGTAGCGTTTGTCGAGGTGTCTTGTGGTGATTGATGGAGTCAGTGGGCCCATATTACATACCCTGACCCGGAAGCCTATTTGTCACCTTGAAAAACTGAAATAAATACTTTTGTTATCCGATCACTTGCTGGAGGCCATTATGGTTACTACTGAAAAAACAATAGAGTTAGAGTTATCTCCCTTTGTATACCCGGAAGAAGGTTAAGCACCACCATTATAAATTCATATATTTACTGAAACCTGGACCATATAATTTTCTGTATATATATACACACATATATGTATATTTTTTTTCAAAAATACTAAACAGTTTTGAAAGGTGGCAAAATATATTATAATAATATACAGCTAGATTCTAACAGTGTACTATTTAAAAAGGCTGAATTATGTATTGTTTCTATATATATTTATTCATATATTCATGTTTCTTACTGGTTAACGAAATGTTTGTATAAATGTAAGGAAAGGGCTATTATAGGCAATGCCTGTGCCCAATCCATTTGTTAATGCTAACAATAAAATAATTTTGAAAAAAAAATAAATTCAACAAGAAAATGGTTTGGAAAACAATCTTTATGATGTAACAACGTGTACGCGCTCCTCAATCAATACCAATTTATTAATCATATGAGTCCTTTAAGAAACTACCAAGTTGGCATCATGAATATTATAATATTTCACTCACTGAAGAGTACAATAAAATCTAAAGCATGTTTAGTTCTCCTCTAAAAAATGAAAATGGTTAAACAGGAAGTATTTACACTGTCGCATAATAGGAATGGATCCGGACCAAATTTCCGGATTTGTATCTATTCAAATATTATGGACCATTAAATTTATATTAAATAATTTTGAATTTCATTGAAGAATTTATATTTTTTGCCTCTTTCACTAGCATTTAAATAAAACGGCAGCTCAAAATTTTATGAAATGATTTATATTATTTTTTCATACTTCAATTTAAAAGAAACATCATATTTAGAAATGCATATCCTTGATAACAACCAAACAGACAATCATAAGTCTTAATATCTGTTATATTGTGTAAATTCAATGAAAACTGAAAATTTATATTAATAAATTTCAACTTGGTTCCTATTGTGTAAAAAGAAAACATATTGTTTTTATTGTTATACTAAAACAAAGCATGCACTTTATCGATTTAAAGTTATCTAGATGTATTGATTTAATATATATTAGTTTGATTTTTTCCTTTGTGACAAATATCGCGACGCGTAAAGTATGTTGTTCACGGGTTTTTCCCTATGAGAATTTTAAAAAGTTGACCGGTATGGAAAAATGTGTACGCATCTATTATATGTAATATAATATGTCCACAGGCTTCCATTGATGTATATTTTAACCATTTCATTCATTTTAAATTTCAAATTCCATGTAGAAATGACGAACATCGGGTTTGTTTGTTTTTTGTTTGTTTGTTTTTTTTTTTTTTTGTTTTTTTGTTTTTGTTGAAATGTCAATATCGCAGAGAGTGCCCTTGACATTTATTAGTGCGAGTTATCTTGCTTCGTTCAAAATTCATCAGAAAAAAAATTCTGCGAGAAATGAGGAACATATAAGGACAAACAATTTAGTAACAAAATGAATGTACACAAATATATTAACTATGTTCATTCAAACCCAATACCAATGCATACTCCTCCCTCTTTTGGCATATTCCTTCCCCATTTGGCACGCCTTCCCCATTTGGCATACTCCTCCCCCATTTGGCATACTCCTCCCCCATTTGGCATACTCCTCTAACGGTAATAAAATTTCGTCTCACGGAAGTGGGAAACGTGAACAGTCAAATGGTGCTAAGTCAACCCAACAAGTACCTCCAAGGTTTTGTGTGTAAGGAAACAGATCATCTGGCAAATAAGTGTGCCAAGAAAGCCTCCAGGAATCGTATTTTATCAATAACAGAGAAATCGAAACAGAGCGAAATGGAGCAAAGAGACTTATGACCAAGAACACAAGTATTCCTTGAAGTGAACCGGTACAAGCACCAGGAAAGATGCCATTTGCGGATGGTGTAGTTGGTATCCGTTTTTAGGGACACTGGTTGTTTGGTCGTGGTGGCGAAAAGAAGTTTAGTGTCAGATGAGCAAATACTGTAAATCTTTGGACATGTGCACTTGCCGACGGCAGCGCTTTGTAAGTGCCTGCTGCTAAGATGATGGTAGACACTCCATATTATGTCGGTCCTGTGGTACCTTGGTGTATGGAGACACCAGTATATGACCATATCCTTGGAAACATTAAGGAGCTCTGGCGCCAGATAAACAAAATCCCAGTTGGAACATAAGAATGGAGCATATACCTGCTGCTCAAGGTGCCGACAGTTTAAGATGAGGTCACACCTTGTGATATTAAGTTAGCTTAGCAGGAGAACGGGAGTTTGCTCAAGATAAGATATTTGGTAATTAGCAATGAGGTCAAGAAACGACGAGATGGGGGAAAGTCTAGGTTTTTCTAAGTTCACGGTGTGATATACCGTGAGTACAAAAGTCCAGCGGTTGCAAACGGTAGGACATTAAAACAACTGGTAGCTCCGACTGAATTTCGTTTAGCACACGAATATATGATGCCTGGTTATCAAGGAGCGAAGAGAACTCAGGACAGGATTATGATGGAGTTTACTTTGCCAGGGGTTAATGCTGACGTTACCAGATTTTGTCGGTGTTGCGACGTCTGTCAAATGACCTTTCCAAAAGGTCGTGTGTCAAAGGTTCCTCTTGGAACAATGCCTCTAATTGACATTCCGTTTCAGCGAGCTGCTATTGATATCATTGGTCCTCTTCAGCCTGCCACCGATCTTGGAAACAGATATGTTATGAACATCTTTGATTGTGTAACGCGTAATCCGAGGCAATATCTCTGAAAGGGATTGAAACAGAGTGAGTAGCGGAGACACTTGTTGATATGTACAGCAGAGTAGGGATTCTGCACGAGGTATTGACCGACCAAGGTAGTCAATTCACATCGGATTTGATAAGTGAAGAGAGTCGTCTTTTATATTTCAGTCAGATGACAACCACTCCGTATCATCCAATGTGCAACGGCCTCGTCGAAAGGTTTAACGGTACCTTGAAGCAGATGCTTGAGCGGATCTGTTCAAAGAGACTCACAGACTGGAACAAGTGCCTCAATGCGTTACTCTTCTCATACCGGGAAATTCCACAGGAAAACCTCGAGTTTTCACCTTTTTAGCTGCTGGTTGGCCTAACCATTCGAGGTCCAATGATGGTCTTACGCGATGTTCCCGATGTTGAAGTGCAGACCACATACCAATATGTTGTTGACCTGAAAGAAACACTTGAGAAAAAATGCAAACTCGGGCTAGAGCAGTTGAAATTCGTCAAATCTCGAGAGGCTAGGTATTATAACAGAAATACTAAGGATGTAGTTATGAAAACAGGTCAGAAGGCTCTAGGATTACTGCCCACCAAGAGTAACGAATTGCTGATGCAGTGGAGAGGCCCCATGGCGTTGAGGAAAGGAGATGCGCCATGGATAACAGAGTTAATATCGATAGTAAGATTAAAACGCTTCATGCTAATTTACTCCGTCGGTATGTAAAACATGATATCTCTAAAAGTTCAGGTTGTGTGCGAGTCAATTGTGAGCGACGACAGTGGAAACGGTAACGGGGATATCATAGTAAAAAACCTGGAGACCTGGAGATGGTCTAAGGCACGTCATAGGTGACCCTGGCGGTCCTGGATGCACCTCGTCCGGAGACTATTTTTTTTTTTTTTTTTTTAATTTTTTGTAATACATATTTTTTTTTATTTCTTTTGATTCACACATAATCAGTTTGTTACAAATTTGAAAAAACAGCATATATCCACAGATATAGTATTTCTAGTTACAGATGTTTGTATAGTATAGCGAAATGTTATCGATTTAATAAATTGTCCATTGGTTGCCATTTTTGAATTATTTCAGGATACTTATTTGAGCTGTAATACCTGTATGAAGTTATTTCAATTTCTCTGTAGCGTCCTATTATCAGAAAACAACAATTAAGCAAATTATTATTTTTGATTTTACATCCAAACATGGCATCATTTTTGTCAATTTCATATTCAATGTTACATTTCACTTTGATTAAATCTGAAAATTTCCTTCAAATAACATTTACGTGAATGCATTGCCACATTAGATGATACTAATATTCATCTTCATAATTACAAAAGGTACAATTCTTGTTATCATTTATACCAAATTTATATTAAAATGTATTAGTACATAATGTTCTATGAAAAATTTTGAATTGAAAATTTCTTAGATTTACATCTTGTGTACAACTCCTTGGTATCAAATACGTATATTTCCAATCTATTTCTAGGTTTTGCAGATCTTGAGATCACTTTTCAATTGCTTATTGATTTATAGAAAGAACAGAGGAACAAAATTTTGAATAGAAAATTCTAGTAGGTTTGACAATAATATTATTAGTTTCTCGCACCGTATTGTTACCATGGCGACTGATTGACATTTTCCATGCACCCGGGATGGCGGAAATAATGCCATAAAACTGCATCCTTTGACTTTGTGTATATTAAAGCGTTCTTGTAAATTCTGAAAAGTCCTCACTTAACCATCATTTAGAATAAGATCTGCAATCTGGTTGATGCCGCTATCTTGCCATGACTGGAAATATGCTGTTTTGTTACCTATTTTTATATTATGATTAAACCATATTGGTTGGGACAAAAATACTCTGCATCCTGCTGTTCCAAATGTTGTTCACTCCAAGCCAAAAATACTTCTTTCCAGAAAAGATTAAAGGCATATCATTTATCGCATATGAGAGAATGTTTAAATTTCCATATTTACCCAACTCATCTAACAGAAGTAGTTTCCAAGGGGATGTGTTTTGAGGATCAATTAATTTCTTGACCCAGGTCATTTTCAAAGATTTAATGAAACTTTCAATATCAATCATATTAAGACCACCATTCTCATAACTGTTTCTTAGTGTTCCTCTCCTGATTTTATCTTTTTTGTCGTTCCATATAAAGTTGAAGCATATCTATTCTACTTATCGGAGTATGTGGCAGGGAGGCTTTGGTAAAACTGTAAATAATTGCACAAGTATTGGAATTGCCAGTAATTTGATAACAGTGATTTTTCCACTCAGGGTAAGATTTCTAAAAGACCAGTTCTTTAGTACTCGCTTGACTTCCATTAATTTTTCTTCATAATTTACAAAGGTTGTATCTATTTTACTCAGGTCATATTTGATACCAAGAAATTTAAACTTTCCAACTAAATTCCATTTCAAACCTCTTTGAGTAAGCAATTTTTCCTGACTGCCCTTTCTGCTGCCTATCCAAATAGCTTTGGTTTTGTCATAATTGGCTTTAAAGCCAGAACAATTTCCAAACGAATCTAAAATATCTAACGCTGATTTTAAAGAAATTTCTTTATCTTTTAGACATATTGCAGAGTCGTCAGCGTATTGACTCGAAAGGATCTCTGTATCACCTACCTTAATACCCTTTAGATCTGGTGAAAATTTTAAAGCAGCACTTAAAACTTCTATTACAAGAATGAATAGATACGGAGGGAGGGGATCTCCTTGACGGACTCCTCTTTTGATAGGGGAAAAAATTGAACAGAATCTATTGTTGATGACGGAGCTAGTGATGTCATTGTACAGAAGTTCTACCCACGACTTTATATTATTACCAAAGCGAAAGAAATCAAGTGTTTTATGAAGAAACTTCCATTGCATTGTATCGAAAGCCTTTTCGAAATCTATTAATAATAAATTTCCTGGAATATTTTTTCATTTGTTTTCTAAATTAGATCATAAATCAGTCGCGTGCATTCGCCAATGTATCTGCCTTTCAAAAATCCTTTCGGAGTATCGCTTAAAATATTGTTAAGTACACGCGTTAATCTTTTTGCTAATACAGTAGTTATGATTTTATAATCAACGTTTAACAACGAAATTGGTCGGCAATTTTTTAGAAACTCTTTTTGTTTGTTTGGCTTTGGTAGACAGGTTATTACACCTTGTTTTTGTGTAAATGATAGTTGTTTATTTTCAAAACCATACTTAATTGAATTAATGATAATATATTGAAGATCTATCCAGAAGAATTTATAGAATTCAACTGTGAATCCATCTAAACATGGCGACTTGCAATTGTTCATACTGAATAGAGCCTTTGCACATTCTTTTTCCGTGACGTCACCATCACAAAGCGTTTTTTCTTCATTAGAAAGTTTACAGATAAAAGGATTGTCATTACAGAAGGATATATTTGTATGTTCATCAGTTATAACAGAATTTGTTGAATTATATAATTTTTCGTAAAAAGGTTTTGCTTTTCTAAAATATCATTAATATTATGTATTTCTGAACCATCATCACGAACAACCTTTGGATTTTTTTTTTAATTTATTTTTTCAAGATGACAAAAATATTTCGTAGATTTTTCACCTTCCATGTTCCACCTAGCTTTTGTTCTGACCATCAGTCCTCTTACCCTTTCCTCTCTCATATTATTAAGTTCATTTTCTTTTGTTTCCAAAATTGTAGATGTTTCTTGATTTTCAAAATTGAACGAATTTCGCTGCAATTCTAAAATTTCTGATTCTAGTTTCGAAGCTGTTTCGTTTTTTTTTTTTTTTTTTTTTTGCTTATTTTTACAACTAGCATAGGAAATGGTTTTTCCTCTAATTGAAAGCTTAATGACAGCTGATAATTTATTGTAAAAAGTATATTAT